TGAGGTATCACAAAAGGGGGGTTGCCATTTGAAAAAAAAAAGTTAGCCCCCGCCCCCCCTAAGGGGGGCCCCCCTTCAAAATTTTGGGGGGTCCAAAAAGTTGCTACCTTAGACCGAGGAACATTCCCAAAGTTTCAAACTTCTATCTCAATTTGGAAAAAAGTTACAGGGGTGGTCAGTGACTTTTGGATAACCCTGTATAGCTTTTACCATTCGCTCATAAACGAGAAGGGTGCAGCACTCTTGGGACACCCTATGTATTTGCATGCCATGAAGAGGCTTACAACTGAAACTATTATTTCAGCTTATTACGGCTTATTACAGCTTATTTCTGAAAACCCTACGCGCATTAATGAATAGGGGTGTTGCTGGAGCAATTCACTGTCAGAAAGAGTTTTTGAGACCATTAAACCTGCTCTATGCTCCAAAAAATCAATCTCCAAGGTCACTAGATCAGCTCTCAACCACGCACAATTTCTGTTAGGGCACAGACATTGTTGCGAGATTTGTTGCAATCATACGAAACTTGGGTTGGGCAGAGGAGAGACGCATTAGGGTGGAGCTTGGAGGCTAAAACTCATGAATCCCCTGATTTGGCTGTCTTTGACCCTTATTAACCGGAAAAAATGCCAGTCACTGTTGGATAGCCTGGGTTGGTTACCCAGCACAGGTTGGCAACACTGCCCTCAGAGGGTCAGGTGACCACAATCGTCATGACGTCAGCCATCATCATGTCGTGATACGAGTGTTACTGTGTCGTGTTCATTCCCCTTTTATTTTATAATAAATATGAATATCGTTTTAACCGAGTGTTCGCTTATTCAGATATGACCCACACTAAACATGGCGACGAGGATGTAAACGGGAAATCAACGAAGCGCAGCAAAAAGTAGGGAAGTGCGCGTCGTGAACATGTCGTGAACCGGCACAAACGGCCTAAATTCCACCATGGCCTCGCGCTCGGTATTTAAGTGAATTCAAGTGCAAGACATGTAATTTCGCTAAGAATGTTCAATTTTAGTGTATCGATTAAGTTCGAAAATGACTTTTAGTATATCGATTAAGTTCGAATTTTAATTTCTCAATTGCACATGGGTCAATTTCTTCTAAGTTCATGATAATCTGTGTCGTTATCAACCTTCACTAATTGCAAGGTAATAATTGTTCGGACGGTACAATGGAATTTCTTACAAAGCCAGAACCACTGGAAATCGATGATAATATTAAAGAGAATTGGGAAAAGTTCAAAAGACGTTGGAGGAACTACGCTCTTGGCGCCGAAATCACCGTGAAATCCGAAGAGGTAGGCCATTTTCCTTAACCTCATCGGATCCGAAGCAGAAGAACTTATCAACTCCCTTGCTCTCACTAGTAACCAGTCTAAAACTGTCGATCTTCTAGTCAAAGCTATCGATGAGTACCTATGTCAAGCCCAAGACAAACGTGGTATTTTCTAGATACCAGTTTTTCACAAGATCGCAGAAGGACGGTGAGGATTTTGAAACGTTCCTTCTCTCACTCAAGAAGCTGGCTGAAAATTGTGGCTTTGGTGAGCTGAAAACATCGCTCATCCGTGATCGCATCATCATTGGAATCTCCAATTACGAACTTCGCCAACGCATGCTGGGAGAAGAATACGATTTCGAGAAGACGGTCAAGCTATGCAGGTCAGTCGAGTCTGGGAAACAGCGGGCAAAGGAAATCAACGATCAAGGGACATCATCCACAACTGAGGTCAATTGGGTCAGCAAACCGCATTACAGCCGAAATCAACAGCCAAGCTGCAGCTCAGGTACTGGATCTACAACTGAACAGCCAATCAACTGCCAAAATTGTGGGACTAGCCATCCTATCAACCAATGTCCAGCATTCAAAAAGCAATGTAATTACTGTAAGCGTCTTAATCATTTTTCCGCTATGTGTAGATCTCGGAATAATTCTGTGTTACCTAATTCCAATGATAAAATTGCACCTTCTACAGCTAATTCCAAAGCGGCTGATCTAGTCAATGTCCATTGTCAGTGCTCATGTTCTCCAAACAGTATCTCTAATCTGACTGAAATTTCAGATATTCATGCTAGTGATTATGTTTACATTTCAGAAATCTCCGTC